AGACAGATCGAACTGAATGTATTGCAGTCACATAATCGCAAACATGCTGAAAGATAAGATTTGTTATTTTTTCGATAAAGCTTTTAAAAAATATCGTGGGCATCGACAATATTATTTGACCTTTTTGAAAATAACTGAGGATGGTGCTGGCTCGGTCCGTTAAGTTTTGCATATGGCTTTTAATAATCTCAACCCATTAGATTTTGCTGAGTTGAAATTTAACCTAAAATTACATTAATTTTTGGAATAATCTAAGTTTTCATACAGATAATGATGCGGGATCTGTAAAAAAAACCGTCTAAACCTTCTAATAGCTCTCATCATTACTAGTTAGGATAGCTCCACTGGCTAGAAGGGAAAGCCGCTTCCAAGTGGTGCGGTCTGATACCATCGTCGACGGTAATAAAAGCCATTCCTTTTTCCATCGTTTAAGTCCATATATTGTTGGTCCACCTATACGTTCAAAATCTTTTCTGAGCTTCTTAATATTCTCCATTCTCAATGGCTATATCTCGCACAAGATCGAGATAGCAAGATCGAGCGAACTGCAGTTATATGGACGACGATTTTCGTTTTTATGGTGATTTCGCGGCGGTTTCATAAAATTTTCGTAAGAGGAACGTATTTGTAATTATCGTTATCCTAGTTATAATTTTGTCTTTCACCTGATCATTCGGTTCCAGTTCTCGCAGTTGTTAACACATTGTTTATTTGCATTTCGTCATAAAAAGTCATCAGCATATTCAAGATCTGTAATACAATGCTCTGGACTGATCTCTTGAGTGCCGACAAGCGATTTGCAATCTATCGTATAATTGAATATTGTAGGGGAAAAGCGGACACCAGTTCTTACTTCGAAAGAGTCTCTTCATTTCCCCATATATACAGATCTGAGCTGATTAATGCCTTTATTAATCGAATGGTCTTCTCTGCAACACCCTTGCATTCCATCATCCTCCAATGTGTGTGGCTTAAATCCTGCTTAAGGCTATCTTGCTGTCTTGTACTGCCATAAGTCTATTCAGCAGAAAGGAAAAAAAGTAAAAATTTTCTCTGAGATGTCTAGTAAGCTGATTCCTCGATAATTTTCGCAGTATGCCCTATTGAAAATTGGGAGTAAAATTGCTTTGCTCCAGTCTTCTGGAATATTTCTTTTTTCCAACCAGAGAGTGCACTTGTTGAAGGTGCGTTATGAAGAAAGATGGACAAGTTCAGCCCGAGGACCATTTCTCGGAATCTTATTAGTCTTAAGCTTACGGATTAAAGAGATTATTTCCTCTTCTGTTGGTGGTTCGCAGTTTATGGCTCGACAATAGAATCAACTATATCCGGAACAAGAGATGGCGCATCGTGGTTAAGTTTGGTCTCAAAAAGTCATTTTTATCTTATGAGGCGATTTTTAATAGTCTTAACAGGCACATCATTGATGTCCCATACCATTTCATTTATTCCCCGAGTTATAATTACTTTATGAAGAAGATGGAATTTCCTATCGTCGCCTAATCAAGCCTTTGTCTCTATTCCCATTTTCCTTCAATCAAGATTTCTTCCCGGCCGTGTGGTGCTATCTTTGCAATTCTTCGAAGCACTTGATAGTCAATATTTCTTAACATTCTTTGACAGTTGGACAATTGTTTTTAATACCCAACTTGCACATTTTCTATTGGCATATCCTAGTGTGGAAATGGTTGAAAGTCGGAAGGCCTTCCTTCCTTTAGTGGGGACCGATATTCTCGTCCCAGAAAAGCCATTGATATTTATACAATTGAGGTGCTTTAATAATTCAGTCTTATATGCGCTCTCAATTCCCAGATCTTTTAATTTGATTTAGAAGATCCTGGAAGGCTATGCTTTTTTCGAGCTGTCAATTTTATGCGGATCATAGCTCGAATCACTGTTAGATCCATCGCCGTTCCAGCTCCGCGATTGGACGGCTATCTAATACGGAACTCTTCCAACGAAGACTGATTATAATCCAATCAGTCTGGTTGAAGTGTTGGCTATTCGAGGAATTCCATGTGATAAGATATATTGGTAAGATATATTGGTACTTCATGCTGTTTATGCTGTTCGGCAAAGCGAAAGAGTTTCTCATTGGCGCACCAGATTCTGATACCATATTTGCCAATTATCGAGGTCATCGCAGCGATATTATGACCTACGAGCGCATTCCAGTTTTTCCCGATTATGACCATGTCATTTTTCGGTAGAGAATTTGTTAGCAGTTGAAGTTCCACATAGAACATATCCTTATCACGGTTGTCTGCGCATGAAGTTGGAGCATATACATTGAAAACTAAGATATTGCAGAACCTGGCATCTGGAATGGGCCTTTTAAGATATAATATCGCCATTTCATCCCGATCTATACAAAGATGTGATAAAATCAATATTTCTATCTGGAGTCTGTTTAGCAACTACTCGAGGCCCGAAGTGAGGAAGATGGACTCCGACAAACGATGATTCACACGATATTTAGAAAGAATGTGGATCGCTTGGTTTGCAACCTCCATAAGCATTCTGACGTTCCACTCTGCTACGGATAACATCTCACCGTGCCTCACAGAGCCGTCTCCTTTGAAGATCTCTAGGAATTGCGCAATTTATATCGCTTGTAAGCATAATTTATTTACAAGCCTTCGGAGGACGCGGACGCTGGGTCAAGAACATCTCATCCTTTCACCATAGAGTCACTTGGGGATAAAGTTACATGTTACGGATTATGTGATAGGAATCTTTAAAGAAATCTTTAGTAATAATATGCTATATATTGGATTTTCATTTGCATTAATAAATTCGAATATAATGAATATTTTAATGAATTTGTGAGATAAAATATAGATTTATTGGGAATGCGTTGAATTGTCCAGTGGTACGTTGCTTTGATTAAATATTAATCGTTCGATAATCGCCCGTTCGCCCGTGAATTATAAAAGTGAAATTCGAATGGATTCTAAGAATCCATCTGCATTTCTATCTGCCAACGACTAGCTGCCCAAAGGATTTTCAATCTTGTAAGTTAGGCTAAATAGTGAGAAGAATTGTTAAAATTGAATCATTCATGTCTTAGAAATTTCTTCGTTCTTTTCGCCTAAGAAATTCATTGCATTTCTTATTTATTTCAAAGAATCAAAAGAATTTTTTTCCACAGAAAAATGCATAAAAGAGTAAAATAATTCAATATTAGCTATAATTTATATTCTTCACTGGTTTTCCTTCGTTTCCAGCCATTAATAACAATGGATGATTTTTGTTAAAATTAGCGCAGATTCGCCAATAAACATATTCTATCCTCAGTCTCACATTTCGCTTAATATTTATTGATCAGTAAGATGACGAGTTTGCAAGAATTTTTCGATTTTTCTCCTGCTTTTCCATCTTGATGTGGATTTTCAAAATATTGCATAGACTTGTCGATTTAGCCGATTTATAACACATTTTCTTTTTTTATCATTGTTCTTCTTCCTTTATTTCTCTTATTATTTGCTTTTGTCAATTTTCAGGATTTTTTAATGAAATTCCAGCCTAGTTGAACGCGCGAATTTAGCATTAAGAAAAGAATAGATAGTTAAATACATTAAATACATTTCCATCAAAAGACAGAATTCGAATCTTTTTTTCCAGAAATTCCAATCCATTTCATTGCTTTAATTCTTTTCCTACCCAAATTTTTTTTTCTGATACCATGATAACAAATTTATTTCTTTTCTTCTTCCATAAGAAGTATGGGTATGGGTATTTTTTTCTGGTTTGGCCTATTCTCCTTGATGAGCACTTTCTCTGGAGAATCATTTGGGAATATAAATATTGGTAAATTTTCACGCGAATTTTACTTTTCCCTGATACGTTTACACCTTTCAAGAAACGAGAACTGAGAATAATGGCTTGAACTTAATCGAAGTGGTAGCCACTTCAGTATCGTGTCCCAGTCGAAAAAATACAAATTCTATAACCATATAATTAGATTATTACCTCAGTTATTTAGCATCATATAAATTTCTACAGGATTTCAGAGTGGTAAGAAAAATCTCCGTAACCCTTGTGGTGGTGCTGACTCTATATACTTCTATCCTGGACTCATGTGATTCCCTGGAAAAAATCTCTATCCATACTAACAAAACTCACTAACCAATTATTTACTTAGATGTAAGTTTCTATTGAATTAATGTTCGTTCGATCGATTTCATTTATTGTACAAAAATTTTAATATAGATCATCCACTGAAAAAAATTGATGACCAAAAATCTTTCTATAACATTAATACACATCGTATCTGATATTTAATTTTTAAATTATTGCATAAATTCTCAGAATAGATATATTTGCCTACCGAAACTTTCAATTTTCTTTCAGTTGCTTATCATCATTTCTTCGGTATTCTTCGGTATTATTCGGTATTGCTATTAATTTGTTCTTAGCCTGAGCAAAGTAGAAATAAATGCCATAGGTCGTCGAAGCGAAGGAAAGATTGTCAAGTGGAATGTCCTTTCGATTGAGGTCAACATCGTGGGATTCCCTTTGATAGAAAGAATTCTATCATTAGAAGTGAAATTCGAGTAGAGCTGAAGATTCGCTCGTACTTCTGCGAAGGGGTCAAATTCATAATCCTTTTGTTTCCTTTCCTTTAAGTATTTAAGTATCTAAGTACATTAATTTTTAATTTAAATTAATTTTTAAAATCCTGATTTTTTAGTTGTATTTCTTTAGTTTTTTTCCACAAATTGTTGTTTTAATTTTTCAGGCATTTTTCAAAAAATTAATTAAGTTATTTTATACCATACAGTGTTACATATTTTATTAGTATACCATTAGCAATATTAAAGATGATATCAACGATATCATTCAATTTTAACATTTTCATTTGTGCATTAGCAAATTAAAATTGTGGAAGGAAAAACCAAAATAAGCCATTGTTTTTCTTTCCTTTTCTCATGTTTTACTTCAATTATATTCATTAAACTTTTTTCATCGATTCTTTTTGAATAAATTATAGGCATAAAATGGCAGATAATGTGGAGTATGATGAAGAAAGAAATGAGGAATCGAAGGATCAGGTTTGCTCACTATTGATAATTAACGAATGTAGTGTTTGTTGCAGTCAGACTGACTTGTTTCAATGGTTTCGAATTTCGTAACGAAACAAAAAGATTCTTTAATGAATGAAAGAATTGTGCATTCTCGAATTATGCTTTTTAGAGGATTTTAAAGAATTTAAAAATTAATTAATTTAAATGATACTTAAAACAAGAGAATGAAAGTAATGGAAAGGAGGAGATAATTTTTTTTTTAAATTGAGAATTTAAAATTGGTGCATTTGATGAATGTTTCCAAGAATTTTCTATCGATTACCTATAATCTAAGTAGTAAGTGTTCACAATTCCTGATTAGGATCGCTCTGTTAGTGCTCTGTTAGCAGTTGGTTTCAAGACGGCTTCCGAAGGTTCTTAATTTAGATAGTGAGAAGTAATTTAGATACTGAGAAAAATTTAAATTTTTCTTTAGGACGATGGAAAGATGAATGGTCTTGTAAAATCGGATAGAAAACAGCAACAGGTGAACGGCTATACTGATCAAAGGTCTTTAACAGGTAATAAATATTTTTGGATTCATTAATTCGTTCTAAATTAAGAAATTAAGATATAATTAAAGAGAGGATTTTGGCTGGCATGACCGACTTTATACTTTTGAAATTAATTAAATCTAATTACAATGACAAACGAATATTCATTTTTGTTTCCCATCTTTCTCTTTCCTCCACTTTATCATTAGTTTTGGATGGGCTTCTTTGGCTATTATTAAGATAAGATACTTTCGTCATTTGTGCATCACTCGGTTTTGGCTTTTAATCACATATTTGCTCACATAAAGATGCCGAATCGTTATATTTGACATAATCCAATTAACAGACCAGTCGACCATTTTGCTTTTTCGCTTATTATTGTGGCATTTTAAAAAAATAAAAAATTTTTGATTATCTGATCTTGAAATCTCAAAAAATTTAGATAATGAACTCATTGGTAACATTGGTGACAACGTGTCATACATGGAGAGTTTCGATGAAAAAAACGAAGTGATGAATGCGGAATTCGATTTTAGTTCACTCACGCTGAATAATATTGAATCAAGTAAATTAATTTATCTATAATATCACTATGGGGATAGAATGGCTTGGTGGGCGCCGATGCTGAGATTCGATTCCTCGTAGGGGTAAACCTGTCTAAAAATCCGGCACTGGAGACTCACCCGAATTTCTATCGTCAAGGGACTTCCTGGCATATTTGTTCAGCGGAGCGAGTTCAGTCAGTAATGGTTAGGACTCTTAAAAAAAACATCACCATGGATAATAAATTTGCAGGTGATATACGTGGGGATCGAAATTGCTCCAGAAATTTAATACCGGAACCACCTGATGGTGGTTATGGTTGGGTTATTGTTTGCATAGCATTTTTATCAAATTTCATAGTTGATGGTATATCAAATTCATTTGGTGCTTTTGTAAATATTTATCAACAGCATTTTAATGAAACAAAAGCAGCAGTCTCATTAATTGGCTCATTGCTTATTGGCTGTTATTTACTTATTGGTAAGAGTTTTATTTATTTTACGTGGAAAATTTATTCCTATGCCATTTCGTTCACAGAAGAAATATTGCCATTTACAACTACTATTATTAGAACTGCACTGGGTGACAAATTCCTTAATCACTTTAATAGAAACTGGAATTTATATTAAATTTATTTTCTTGTAAATCAGCAAGATCAAAACATATTTAAGATTAGTGTAAATTAGTGGTGACTGAAACAAACTACTGCAGTAACAAAGCAGTCCATAATAACAGTAAGCGGAAGAAATAAAAAAAAATTTTTTAAGGAAAGATGAAGAAAAAAAACAAATATAAAAGTATGAAGGAGGGAGAGGAAAAAGGGAACCTGTGAGGTACTAAGGTAAGTATAGTGAAATCGTGAAATCGAGTAATAAAGAGTGGATACTATGGAATTGAAGGGTTTTGGAGAGTGAATGATTAAGTAAATACAACTGGATTTAAGGAATATGGTAGGAAGGCAACTGTTTGTGGGAGAAAAATGGAGCTTAAGAGAGGGTCAACAATATATATATATATATATATATTTGGAGAGATTTTTAGGAAAACAACTAGGGCTACGAATTCAACGTTTGTGGGTATGGTTCTTATTTTTTCCACAAATCTTTTCTGAAAATCCTGAAAGCCTGTCCTCTCAAAATTTTATGTCCTCTTCCATTGTTTTCATACTTTAAAAATTTGTTTTTAACTATGCTTCCTCCACACACTGAATAAATAAATAATCAAGGACGATCACAAATCATAAATAACATATCAATTATTTACGATTTGTGATCGTCATTGACTGTAATTTCACATTACAGCGTAAATAAAAAAAAATTGGTAGACAAAATAATCGTAATTCAGGCTATTTCGTGGTCATATTGGCATAGGTGCATAGGGTGCATTAACTCAGTAAAATTATTGTATAGTTATATGAGGTGAAGTGTGGTTGACGATGGCTTATTGATGTAAACATGGTCTATGTGAAAAATTACTCGATTTTATTTATAGTTAGTCACATATAGGTCCAGTCGCTGGTGGTTTAGTAAATAAATATGGTGCTAGGAAGGTTGCAATCACTGGATCGTTGATATCAGCTTTATCATTTGCTGCTTCGATTGTGTCTTCGAATATCTATATATTTATGATATTTTATGGAGTTCTTGGAGGTGAGGTGATTATTTAAATTTTTTACCATTTCAAAAAATGTGCCATTTATTTTGGCACATTACAATTACAATTTAAATGATTTTTTTTCCAAAGAAATTCTCAAATATTGAAATAAGATTAATGATAAATTTCCATTTCGCTATATATAAATAAATTATAGGAATCGGTTTCGGTTTAATTTTTTTACCTGCAATCGTTTATGTTAGCTATTACTTCGAAAGTAGACGCTCAATTGCAACTGGAATCGCTGTTGCTGGCTCAGGTGTTGGAACATTTGTTATGCCCCAAATTTGCATGCTTCTTTTAAATAGTAAGCCATTCATTTCTATATTTTTTAAAAAATTTTTTTTTCGGTTTTGTTTTAATTTAAATTATAATATAAATTATAAAATCACTGTATTTGAAACTAATTAATTATGATTAATAAATTAATTTTAAATTATTAATTTAAGTTATTCAGCAAATTTTAAGGTTGCTATTTAATTATTTACTTTTCCAATTTTGCATTTTCCTTTATATTTCTTTTTTCTTCTTGTCTTTTCATTCTTTGATAAGATAAAGTTATCTAAAAACCAGATGGCTGCTGGAAGCACGTGTATGGCTGTCTCACTTGGCTTAATGGTGGAAGAAACCTTGATCCTTATACGGTGGTTTATTTAAGAGCTAATCGTCGTTATGATATTTATACAATCAATTTTTTGAATTTTTAATGAATTTTCTAAAAAGTTGAAAATTAAAATTAAAATTAAAAAATTTTTTTATTCATTGAAAATCCTTTCCTAATTTTAATAAATTCATTCTTAAGATATTGCTAAATAGTTAATCTTCGTTTTATTCAGTCAGTTTTTGTTTAAAATTTTACTGTATCGCTTGGAAAAGTTAAGGTTAATAAGTTCCATTATTCAATATTTTTACTAGTATTATGCGAATTTAGGTAAATAATATATATGAACGATTGTATTCTTGTGCATCTTCACTAAAGCGTTCTTTGAACAGTTTTGAACAGTTTTGTACAGTTATTTTATAACTTAACCGATTTATTAATCAAAAAATATTAATAAAAATATTTTTTAGAGACGGGATGGCAAGCCACTGTTTGTGTTTTGGCAGCATTTAGTCTTCTATGTGGTATTGTCGCTTTTTTATACAAGCCACTTGAACCACCAAGTGTGAAAGATGATCTAGAAAAGGAACCACTTAAGGATTCAGAAATTGATCCAGTAAGGTTATGCAAATAGCCCAAGAAGTTTATTTTGAAAAGTCGATATTTATTTATTTTCAAGTGTTTAAAATTAGCATCTATGAAAGCATCTTTTTCTTTTATGTTTCCTGGTTTCAGAGACCTATGGAGTTATTTTTGGATACGCCGATTGCAGAAAGCCCTACCAAAAAAGCGCAGCGTGGATTATCATCACTCGCAAACATGGATTTGGGTGATTCATAAAATTTTTATTCGCATTTATCAAAATTTATTTATTTCATCTAAATTCAAAAATCAATTTGTTATTCATATTATTTAAATTATTTTTTAATTCAAAAACTTATTTCACTTCGGTTTTTAAATTGTTTTATTCTATTTTGTTTATTTAATTTTCCATTTTTTAAAAATGTACTTATGTTTTATGTCCATTTATTTATTAATCATATTTATTTTTCTGCTTTTAATTTTTTTTTGAAATTTTTTTATTTAGTTGACATTCCTAGTGGAATGGAACCGGAGAAGTTCGCTCGACTTCGATCAGCATTAAGCGAATGCGAAAATCCTTCTACACCAGTTCGTCCATCACTTTCGCCTATCACTGAACATCCAGCTCGTGCAAAAAGAACAGAATCTGCATACTATACTCATGCTGAACGTGCTTATTCATTATCAACTCGAGCGAGGAAACTTACGCTTACAAGGTAACCACAGTTGAAAAATCTTCAGTAAATTTTGAAAATATAATTTAAGAAATAAATTTTAGAAATTTTTTCGATAACTGGTAAAAGGATACTAGATTTGCTATTTTCAGTACCGGAAGTGAAATGGCTTCAACTCAAGATCTTAAAAATCGCTTATGTGCTCCAGATCAACTAAGCAAAATATCTGTTCGAAGTTATGCACAGTCTATGAATCGTTTAAATTACTGTAACCAAATGAAGGGAGCTCAGTCACTGCTTTCCGTTGTTTGTCTTTCAATAGTTCATTAAAAAAATTAATTATGGAGGCGATTTCATTGTAGTTAATTATATTACTAACATAACGCTGGCAGGTCACCCATCTTTGCAGAAGTTTGGCTTAGTGATTTAGCTAAATTTAGATAAAAGAATCAAAAATTCAGTTCGATTATCTCGGGGCCTCATTATTGCGGTGACAAAGATGATGTGCTTACAGAACAGTGTTCATTCGAAAGAATTTGCAAGACCTATGAATCGAAGGGATATCTTCTATATGGGTTCAATTTGCAATCTTCACGAATTCGTTGAGGAAGGTTGGACATTTATTTTTAAATAAATGGCAGTTTTATCACTTTTTTCGGCATCAAATTTATTTTAATGATTTCTCGATTTCTCGCACTTAGCTGCATTTTATTCAAATTTAATCAAATTTAGCTGACAATCGTTTACCATTCTGACCAAACAAGTTTGTAGCAGTTAATGTTAATTGTTAACTTATTTTCACACAAATAATTTTTCGTTCTAAATTTTATTATTAAATTCCAAATTCCAAATCGAAACTATGATTTTAAAATTACGATATGATGATAAAATGATACCAGTGGGTCCAAATTTTTTTCTATTATTAAAAATTATATTACCATTCGATTTAATAACGATTTAAGATTAAAAACAAAAGTATAAGAAATGAAATATATATAAATATATATTTATATATTTAATATTATATTTTTACGTTTAATATTACACAAATATATATTATTTAAATAATTAAATGTACTGAAATTGTCTGTGAAAAAGCGTATAATATATTAAAATATTCAAGTACCGTTTATTTATTTGCGCATATTTTTTTCTAAAATAGATTATTTGGTTTATTCATTAATTTTTTATCTGTATTATTTGTAGTTTTAATTTATTATCTGTAGTTTTGTTTGTAATATATAACTTGTTATTTATTTTAAAAGTTTTTACGTTCACTGCTAAAATTTAAAATTTTTGCCAAAATAAGATAAATTGCCAAATATCTATCCTCTGTTTTATTTTGTATCTAAAAGAAACGCTTAGATCTGTTTTTTATTTTAAAGAAAATAGATAGTTCTTTCAATAAAGAAAAAAAAGAACCGCAATAACCGAATGAGATTTGCACTGGAGATTAGAATTTTGTTTCCAAAAGTTTATATCTATCCTACTATTACGAAAGATGAAAAAAAAATCGCAACGCTAAGCTCTTAGATTTATGAATGAATTTTAGTCTATTGGACTTGTGTTAGAAAAACAATTTTTACATTTTTAGGCCGAAATTATCGTAGTTATCGTGAGTCGCAAACGTGTATTCCAGCAGCAGTTGCTTCACAAGAATTATGCGGTTTATCACAAGTCGGTGACATAGTAGACATTCAAAGTAAAATTAGTGGCAGTCGAATAAGCCGAGTAACTGGTGGTGTTGGACCTGAGGAAGAAGAATTAATGGAATATTTTGATGATAGGTTTTCTTAAAATATTTCTTCTTTATGAAAATAAAATATTATATTTGTATGAATCTAGCATTTAATCTGAGTTTCGAATTTTTTTAAATAGCCTTCTTAAAAATTATTGACTTAAAAAAATAAAAAAAGATGTTAAACATAGTAAATTAAGAAATGAAAATGAATAATGAAAAAGAGAGGAATTTCATGATTCAATCTTAATTTTGATAATAATTTTCAATGAAAACTTTAGCAAATTTAAATGGTTATCACTATCAGTTCGTAGTGCAGTGAGTGAAATGATTGATATACAATTACTTAAAGAACCGGTGATGGTACTTTTGTGTGTTTCAAATTTGTTAAGTATGCTTGGATTTTATGTACCATTTATGTTTACAATTGATATGGCAATTAAGTTGAAAATCATGCCAGAGAAGGCTTCTCTTTTATTATCTATAATTGGTATTACGAACACATTTGGTACGTTCATTTCTTTTTTTATTTAAGATAGTTTATTAATATTAAGTAAATAAATGGTCAGCATTCACCATTTCTGGTTATGCTACCTCCACTTGCTAATTAATACGATGAAAAATTTTCGGAAGCCAATGGATGAGTCGAGGCCACGAGTGGAATTTATTAATGGATGGTTAATTCCCATTAATTCCCTTCAAAAGAAGAGGGTGGCAAATTTAACATAATAATCTAATTTAAGCTATTAATGATTCGGCTATCATTCTATTTCTTTTCATTAATCTCAGTTTAATAACATTATTGTTAATAGTATTGTTAGAAGAAGAGGAATATTGTTGTTAACTTTAAATTTTTTATTCATTAAAATTGTTGTTAGTCTCAAAACATTATTTATTTTCACTATGTTTATGAATATTCTAGGAAGAATAGCATTTGGTTGGATTGCTGACCGTGGCTGGATATCTTCCTTGTCAATGAACAATGCTTCACTTATCATTTGCGGCTTATTGACCTGTGCATGTCCATTTCTAAATGATTTCATTAGTTTGGCATGCTATGCTTCTCTTTTTGGTTTTATAATTGGTTAGCCATATAATTTATTTTATCAAAATTTTCCTTTCATTGGTTTTATTTTCTTCAAAATTTATCAATTGCAGTTATCGTTCGACTTTCGACTAACTAAATTGGCTAACACATTAGTTTTTTATCATTTTAATTTTCACTAGTCCATATATATTATGTACTGTTTTTCAGCTGCATATGTCTGCTTAACTTCTATTGTTTTAACGGATTTGCTCGGGTTAGAACGATTGACGAACTCGTTTGGTCTTTTGGTTGTCAGTCGTGGAATTGCATCGCTTTTAGGCACACCATTAGCCGGTTAATTTGCTTTCTGTGCAATTCTTTAATTTCATATTTTGATTTTTATGTTCTTAACAAAAAATAATAAATTTTTTTGTTAAGTTAGGTTTAATTTAGGTTTAATTTGCGATTTAACGAATTCGTATGACATTTCATTTTGCTTTTCTGGAAGTTTAATAATTCTTTCTGGGCTTGTTTCATGTGTGATTCCCTATTTCCATCGCCTTCGTCGAGATAGAATTGCCTATGAAGGTTTGCTGTTTTTCCGTTTGCATAATAATTATGTTTATTTTAGATTTACTTCTAAATATTCATTGATAGCTTTCGGTTTATTGATGAAATGTAAATGTAAAAAGGTCTCTGAAAAGGAGCTGAAATTTTAGATTTTTAGATTTAATCACGAGTTCTTAATTTTCGAGCTGTATATCCCTATATTAAAATGCGAATATTAAAATGCATAAAATTTAATTTAGAGGAAAAATAATTATGAAAACATCTGTTATTTTTATTTTTGGAAATCACGGATGCTCTTTATATTCTTATGCTGTTTTCATTCGTAATAGAAGGAGTTAAATTTCATTAAGAATGAGCGAAAACGATATAGATCTTTTTTCTATCCAAGTTCACAGACCTCCAAAGGGCCTCAAATTGAGAATCCTTTGATTAATTTTGTTAAGAGCAAGATGAGACTAAGGCAAGATCATGGCTTTTTGCCATGGACCTATGAATTTAATGTTTTAAAATTTTAAAAAATTTAAAAATAATTTTTCAGTCGATGAAGTCAAAGAGATGAAGGCAGAAGACGTGCAATCTGGCAAATTATCAGTACTCACTGAACGATCAGAAGAAAATCTTACAGAATATCAACGAACGATTCAGAGTCTTCGACAGCAACAAAAGCTTTTACGAGAATATGAGGAAGAACGAAAAACAGCGCTACTGAATAAATCAAAAAAGCCGCAAACTGTAGATGAGTCTGAAGAATCTGAAGATAAAAATGAAATAGCACATGAATCTCAATAATTTTTCAGCCAAATTTTCTGAATAATTTGATTGTTTAATTAGATTTAGCTTTCATTTATTTATTTCGATATATTAATATGTTAATGGAAAAGTTAATGGAATTCCGCTCGATCTCATTGACTTCTGATTAATTTTCAACCAAAACATTTCCTCACAAATCAATAATCGAACTAAAATATATTCAGAAATTATCAAAAATTTAAACTTTTTGATTAATTCATGATAAATTTTACTTCTTCTCCTTCCAATAATATTTATCGTTTCGAGTACCGTTGTGATTGGCTATATTGACTACTAGCATGAATTTTCTCGAGATAATCTGCTCTGTTAAAAAAGTCGAGTCGAGTCTTTAGCATCACTCCGATTTCAACAAATGGATTAGTGACAAAAACTGAAGTAATAAATAGCATAAATACTGGACCATCTTATGCTTTTAATTAATTTTATTTTATTTTTTTAATGTAAATATTTCTAAATCATGTTAAATTTTAATATTGCTTGTGATTAAATGACTTTGCTTGCAAAATGCTGAGCTATTCCAATTTAAGTAAGTCAAAATTTTATTCCTAAATTTTTTTGCTTATTTATTTATCATTGTGTTCGTTTTTTATAACCGATTATTTCCTTGAAATGATCATATAAAGAAGAATACGGATTTTATTAATTTCAGACCAATTTCTGATTTTTTGCCATTAACTCCTTTATGTATAATATTACTATTGCTATCTCGTAAGTCTATATAAGAAGAGATTGAGTTTTGCTGAACGCTGAATGGCGAAGGCAAGTGCTAATTAGAGACGTCCATCAATTTACTTGCCAGAGAATTTATCCAAATTTTGCTTAGATTCTCAGTCTGATGCGTGCAGCCATTGTCAATTCTATCGGATTATCGTTGGATTCTGAGTTGGCATTAAACATGATTTGCTCGAGTAGTTGGAGCAAAATGTAAGGAATTTTTTATGAGGGACTGATCGGTATAATGAAGGGTTCGCTGAAACAAATTGTAGATAAGAAATTTTTAATTGAAGAACCTCATTTGTAGAAATAAAAATAATATATAGCTAATTTAAGGATGTTAATTAATCAGTGAGATATCCTTCGTTCTGCAGATTTAGTGGCTCACCACATCTTAATCGATCGGTAATATCCCCGAACGGCGAGTATTAAAATGCATTAATGTCAGAGAGCGGCGGTGGTTTAGTGGAATTATAATCATTAGAAGTAACCAACACATAAGTGGAAATTATTAATAAATTCAATAATTAAAACTGTTTAATAATTAATAAATATGATCGAGGAATATGGTTGATTTGATTCAGTCGAGCATGAGGCATTCGATTTCTCTATCACGACAGGAAAAAATTAATTTCGCCCGGTTCTAGCCACCCATTGGCAATGCAGACTTCAAAGCCTAAAATTTCGATCTGTGTTGATCAAACTGGATAGATTTAACCGGCAGAATAAACATGAAAAAATATGCGAAGTTATTTCATTAAATTATATAAAGGTTGGAAAGAATTTTTTTCGAAAATTTAAAAGCTTTAATATATTTCATAAAATTTAATATATTTCATAAAATTTAATGTAAAAATGTAAATTTAATACGAATCATTTTTCTTCTAAGAGCACTCGTATTTTCTCATTTTTCTGGCTCTACTAACTGCTAAAGTGGGCCTCTTTCGCCAAAGAGTTACTTGAGTGCCCAGCATTGCTAGAATTTCATTTTAATGCGACCTAAGTTTATTCTATTCTTTCAAGATAGAAAAATCTAAGTCTTGATGGTTAACGTCTTGGCAGTCGATCAACTTATTTGTTTCTTCCTCTTCCCCATCCTCCCTCGCCCCTCCCCTCCCCTCCCCCTCACCATTTTATTTTGTTGTAAATATTAACAAGTTTTTGCTTTATTTTTTCATTCAAAAAACAATCACATTTTTTCGATTAAACGCAAATAATTTTGATTAGAATTTCAAATTTTTATGATGCGAGGGATTTATTCAATTTTGATTTATTGGATATTTATCAATTTATTTATTTATTGAAAACCAGCCAAGCAGGGCGCAAACGCCATGTGCCTGTAACAAGAGGTAAAATAACAAATATTAAAAATGACAAAAACGAAAAAAATAATAAAATAAAATAAACAATTTAAATGAAATAAAGAGGAAATTGCAAAATAATATATGTAGTACGATTCGAAATAACTATAATAGGATGGTAAAAAATCGCGATTTCACACTTTCTGCATGATGTGAATTTTTTAAATAATATCATAAATGATATTATCTTTTCATATTTACTATTATTATTTTGTAATTTATTTACTATAACGCACCATTACTATAATGGCAATATCTTCTGCTGCGAATCAGATGATTTTTTTTCGTAAAATTTTATTCTTTTAATTATCTTTAAATAAAATTCTATTTTTTTTAAAATTCAATTATCTTTATTTTTGTCTTGTTTTGATACTTTTTAAACCTGTTATGGTATCAAAAATCTGAGTGGCTACTAGGGGTCTACGTCTCTATCCCCAAATGACTCTACGGTAAAAAGGTGAGATCTCTTTGACGCGACATCAGCGTCTTCAGATGCGCATGATATTTCTAATCCGTGGCACATAGAATAAATATACGATTCGGGCGTAACAATAATAATAATAAATTCTAAGGCTGAGCATAGAATATGCTCGCGAACCGAGATAATTACTCAGAACCCGTCAACAGAGACGAGAACCTATCCACCTATCCATTAACACTTTGTAAGCGTGGCAAGATGCTGGCTTGGAATGTCAGAACGCTTATGGACGCTGCAAGCCAAGCGATTACATCCTTTCTAAATAAATATAAATAGAAAAAAAAGCAAAGGCTCAAAGGTACAAAGTTCTTTTCCTAGATTTAGCAAAGTTTTTGAGAATAGACTTTCGGTTACTCAATAAATTTGAATAAGCAAAAGTAAGTTCGCACAAATGGCGAACGATGCCTTAGAGCAATATTGAAATTTAGAAGAACTGATCGAACTGCAAAATTCAACCATTAATCGACCATTAATTGCTATTTTATAAATATCTTATTCGTTTAGGAATAAGTCATCTAGAACCGCATTCATTTCACCTTTAGTAAATATCTATTATCGATGGTTTCTATATTTGCTAAATTTTTAAATTACATATTATTAATAATTTGTTGGTAATGTGGAATTAGATTTTGAAAACCTAAATTTGGCCACATTTTGTTACTTTTACGAATTTTTAATTTCAGACATATTAAGATGTCGATATATGAAATCGATGCAACTCAACGGCGAGGATCTTACAGCCCTTTAGAAGTAAGCACAATCTCAATGAAATGAAGATAATTTCTAATTTGTTTCAATTTTCAGTTCCATAATTTTGCCTTATTTTATTCAAAAATACCATTTTTCCATACCATTATTCCAATGTTCTTGCTCAGCTACCATTTTTGCGGACGATTCTCCAAAGTTAATGAAATAACCTTGTTTTGTCCGTGGTATTTTTTTGTTTTTGCCTTTTAGCACGCGACAGAATTTTTAATTGAATTTTTTGTTTTTTTTCATATTACTAAAGAATAGTTCATCCGTTATATATTTTTCTGCAGTGAAAGCTGTTAACTGATAATTATGCATCAAAACTACTGATAAGAATCTTCTCCATCTTATTCTTTTCCATTAGCTATATCTCGTCCTGTGCTATAAGTAATCCTATTTCCTCTTATAAACTAGTGTAATTGAAGGAACTAGTAAATGCTGCTCAAAAAGACAAGCTAGTTATTCGCAATTCCATTTTTTCTCCCACAATGTTTTTTTAAAATTTTATGGAATATTCAAACATTTGAGTTTGAAAAAAATTAATTTGAAATTTTTAGGCTCAAGATCCAATTCAACAAATTAATACAAAATCGGTTAGTCGTGAAGGCTTGCAACCATTTAATGACGAACAGAGACTTTCAGGATTCTCATTAAGACCGATGTAGAGTTTTTTAAAGAAAAATTTTTTGTAGACTGTGATATTTCATTTTAAATTCGTACTCATTTCTTATAACCATCATCAAATTATTTAATAATTCGATACAATTAAAGTTTTTAAGATACGTCGTAATGACAGTTTTCAAAAAGGTATTGATTACAACTAGTTTGCTTGAGAAACTCTCATGAAAGGGAATTTTTGAGAATAGGGAATTTTTAATTACTGAGAATATGTAATGAGTAATGGGTCGAATAGATTCGGATACACGAATAGGATAGATTCACAAATAGATTCGGATGACCCTATAGATTCTGGAAGAATTATTGGTTTGAATAAAACAATATATTTTAGATTTGTCTTTCAATGAATAAAAAAACCAATTAAAATAAAATAAATTTTTGCAGAAATCGACTTGAAGAATTTTTAGCAAGAGTTGATAGATTCAAGCGATTTCTTGCCCAGAAAGCATGTCCTTCGCTTGAATTAGTACCAACCATAATTTTTATGGTAGCATTCGCTCTGCTACTTATTTTTGCCATCTTCGTGATTTCAGTTATCATTAAAATTAGCATTTTATCAAAAGTTGGTTTTTTATTTCGAACTTATTTGATAATTTTTTTTACACTAAGTCGTTACAATAATTAATGGAAATTTTTGCGATAATTTGCATTTTGCATCAATTCTTCATGAACATTACATGGTACTTTATCCAACTTTACCAATACTCATATATTGTAAGGGATTTTATGCAAGATGTAAGAGAAGTTTTGGTCCTTTTCATAATACTGCAAAAAAGGTTTTTTATTTCAAAAATTTAAAAAATTTATGAACTACTTGACTTTATTTCAGGGTTCTGGAGACTTTGAAAATAATGTACGCAAGCCACAACAGATTTATTTTTTTAACCTCGCCAGACCCCCAAAAATTCCTTTAATGCCAGCAAACGTAACGTTATGTGAAGGCTTTGGATTTATTTGCGCACATAATCCTGTGCGTATTTATTTAATCGCATATATATTTTTAATCGAACGAAAATCAAAACTATGGCAGTATGATTATTTTAAGCAAAATTTCGTTAGACTGATAGACTGATAGATAGATAGACGAAATTTTTCAGCAGATTTTAAGTATTTTAAAGAGTAACCCATTTAATCATCATCAATTTCTTTCAGCATATTGTGATTGGTACTTATCAAAGATGTGATGGGAATCTCGATTGTCCAGATGGTTCAGATGAAATCGGTTGTAAAAGTATGCTGCCTTTTTACTTCATATGTTAATTAGAAAACACGCCAAACGAATGGCACGTTCAAAAATCCTTTGGTATTGGTTGTCAATACGCTTTTTTAGATTGGATCAGTGATCTGCCGTCATACAATAATTTCTTTTTATCATGGTTATATCATGGTTCAATACAAAGAAAAGGAAATAATAAAAATTTAGAATTAGATGCAATGATCGAAAATGAGAATTATATTCGTTATGAGAGAATTAAAATGAGAAAATGAGAATGAGAAAACTAAAGAATTATATATGCCCAAGCGTATTGGTTCAAAAGGCAATGGCTCGGATTGAACATCTTAACAACAGTGAATTTACTATTTAAAATCATTAAAATCACTCAAGTGGGGTCCTGCTTGAGGCGTCATCTTGCCATCTGCCATCTTGCACAACTACTTCTACGACTAAAATACGATAATATAGATAGATAAAATATAGATAAAATGATAGAATTAACTGGCTGAACATTTCAGCCAATTTTAATCAGTAGTAGTTCAACTTAATTAAGAATTATACGATTTTCAGTATGCCATACCACTTTCAACTGTTCAACTCAAAAGAAATATGTGAAATGTTTACGAGGAATGAAATTGTGCGATGGTGTTCGTGACTGTGTAGATAATAGTGATGAAGAACTATACTGCAGTTACTTTTTTTTAATTTAATAATTAAATTTAATAATTTAATATCTCCAAAAAGTATTTTATATTTCCTATTGCTTTTCCTAACAATTCTAAATTTATATCCTTATCAATGAATTTTTTAGTAACGCTTTCAGCAAATATTATGAATATTATGATTATTATGATTCGTACAATGGTCAATTAAAAAACGCTATTCACCAGTTTTGGTAAAATTAGCTAGAATTAGCTAGAATTAGAATTATTACTACCAATTATATATCAATTAAAGCTTATCACTTCAAGCATAAAACGATTTTGCCAAGAATTTACTTAAAGACAGAATTGTAATTGCACATCTGCCAGGGTATTAAATGATAGAATCAATACTTGCAGAAAAACTGATTGAATAAATTTAATAAATTTCGATACTCTAGAATCAAAATGTTCCGAAAATGAGATGATATGCGAGGGAACTAGGAAATGTCTACCACTGGAATTCAAATGTAATGGTGATTTTGATTGCGAAGGTGGTGATGATGAAGAATTCTGTGAAAACAGATGTGTAGGAGGTTCAAAATGGTGTGCGGTGTCGAAAAAATGTATTCCTTCATGGCAGATTTGCAATGGAATTGATGAATGTGGCGATGGAAGTGATGAAGAGGTTTAATTTAGCAACTCATATAGTTAAATAAGTCGTTTTGTAGTATTCTTGTAGTTGCATTATTCCTATCGTAGCCATTCTCTCCTTTAAACCCCCTATCCATATTCATCAGATGTTCTTTTAAAATTATTTTTTAAACTATTTAATACATAATGGCTAGTTGGCTAAAGTGGTTGAAATTTAGCAATGTGATTGTCAGTTATGCTCGGGTAGTAATAAAGCATTATGTGCTATTACAAAGAAATGCATTACTCGTGAGAAAATTTGCGACCGTAATGAAGACTGTCATTATGGCGAAGATGAGTTGCAATGTCCTGGCGGCTGCTTTGAAGTGCTCGTTAAGCAAGTAAAGTTTTAATATATAAATTTACATAAAATTTATATTTTACAAAAATTTACATAAAATTTTCTCAATTGTTTTCGAACTCTAAGTTTTCGTTTATAGCATCTTTATCTTTTCATATATATAAAACACCGCAGTTTATAAATTTTTGAATCAAATGAAATGGATTTTTCGATTAAAAATTTAAAACAATTAAGAATAAGTTTATGAGGAAGGATTATTAAGGTAAAATAATTAAACAGTCTATTTTACGATTTTTTTAAAAACTTGTAATTTTAAAGCATGAAGAAATGATTGAATGTGCCGACAAGAAAAAGTATGTGAAGAAGTATGCATGTAGTGGCATGCTTGATCAGTGTAAGCATTTTTGTGAGGAGTGTGATAAGGAACTGGCTTTCAGGTGCGGTAATGGCTTATGCATTCCAAGAAATAAAGTTAGTCGTTCTTCCCTTACAATTCCTTGTTTTCTTCAAATAATAATATATTTATTAATAATAATATATTTTAATAATATATTTATTATTATATTATTTTATTTTATTTAGTTTATTAATATCTATTTAATTTATTTAATAGTTTATCAATATCTATCTATCTATAAATATATATTTAAGAAAAAGACAGCTTACAATCTATTAACGATAGGATTCATAGAAATAATTCATAAATATGCGACACATTTGAAGCCTTCTTTGATTAATTGAGAATATTTAGGTTTGTGATGGGAACAATGACTGTAATGACCATTCAGACGAGATGAAATGTGGTTGTTCTGATATCAAATCATTAAACGAAACTGCTACATTCTTCTTTTGCAATGTTAGTGCAAAAGGAGTGAGGAAGTGCATATCAATAGTTAGTTGATTTTCTTCACGTCAGGTATTTAGTTCACTGAATCCATGCGAATTCGTTGTAAAGTAAAGTCATTCCATAGCAAAAACTTTCGAGTACTTTTAGAGTTCATGGAAAAAAATTGAAAACAAATAAAATCCATGGATTTTTAACAGTTCGTTATTCACTACACCATATGTTTCATATAATTTGCTAAATATATCAAAATTCAGTCTCAGCGTTGTGACGGTTATTTGGATTGTGAAGATGGCGCTGATGAAATAAACTGTAATGAATGTACAACGAATTCAAATGCCATTTATTGCAATTTAACTCGTACATGCCTTGCAAGTATAAAAAGATGCGATGGAGTGCAGGACTGTCCTAATGATATTGATGAATTTGAATGCAGCTGCAAAGGTAGATAGAAAAAAATAATAAAAAAATAACCTTAATTTTGCGATTGACTGATTTGTAGACTATTATGATTTATAGACTGCAGCACTGAATGAAGCAGGTTTATCTTTTAGAAGGCGAAATGTGGCTCAATCAAATAATGATCTTTTCATATCTTATTTTGAATTTATTTCGCAATAATGCAAATATGAGTGGCATACTACTGGGTTTCTGTTCTTTGACAATTATTAAAATCATCAAAATTATTTTATTTTTGGTCAAAATTATTTTTGGTCTTCAAGATCCAACTGTGCTTTGTCTTGATGACTCTCTGGATAAATAGTTTTTTCTTGAAAGAATAATATCGTAATATCCTAAATATCAATAACACTATGATTTGTGATTTGTCCGAAAGCATTTATATGTCCATGAAATATTCTTATTTAATTGTCTTAGCCACAATTTTTATTTAATATATGGATCCACATTTCCAATGATATAATTTCAGAATGTAATATCCATGCGAATCCGATGTATTATTGTTCAGATTCAGCACGTTGTTACCGTCATAATAAAATATGTAATCCTTTTAGTACTTGTCCATACCCTCAGGACAGTGATCGGCAATATTGCGCATATAAAGACCGCATACTATAGAACGGTATTTTTTCGTAATTCCATTAATATTTTCTTGGTCCTAATGATTTTAATTAGTGTTATAACATTTAATTAAAAATTTGATGAACAGTGTGCCTTAAACCATCACCTCAGTAAATATTAGAGAAATCAAAACATTTGTGGATATTACCATCCAAAAATTAGATATATTTGTAGAATAAGTGATGTTCAACGAAAAAGATTTGCTTGTTAAGCTCTAAAGTGCCACACAGTGGCACTCATAAATTAAATTTTCTTATGTCTTAGTAATTCCTAAGGGCTTTGATATTAACTGAACTCCCTAGCGAATGGATTTTTTCTATTTAGCAAATGTTTTACTAATATTATATCGGATATGTTTAGGCTTCATCAAAAATATATGGATGCAAATCTTACTCAAGTGACTCGTTTATTTTATTTTTAGTTATTCCATGTTTTAAGCGATTATAGAGATTACGTTTTTAATAAAATATTATTTGTTTCACGTTATCAATAAAATAGTTTTTTGTTGCATTTTAATAAAATTTTCCATTGTTACCGCATTAGATCACATTTCAGATCAAATTTTACTTTATTAATACACACATCGATAATGAACTTTATTGATCAATCAACATTAATAAAGAACCAAGCAATCTGCTACACCATATATGCTGATGTCGATAAATACAATCGGAAAATAAGGAAAATTTATAAATAAAACAAAAAAATATAATAAATAAAACAATATATAATATTTCTTTTAATAGTTCTCACCATTACTGGTTAAGCTGGCTCTACTGGCTACAAGGGTAAGACGTCCTATTTAGTCCGATGTTATCGTTGATAGTAGCCATTCTTTTTTCCATGGTCCAAGTCCATATATTGGTCCACCTACATTCAAAATCTTTCCTGGCTGTGTCAGATCAAGTCTTGATTGGACCACCTCGTTTTTGACGCTATCCGTCATAAGGTTTAGTAAATAATAAAATACATGTCAATAATACTCTCGCGGTGGGCGAAGAATATGCCGTAACCAGCGATGACGGCATGGGTTGCTATATTTAAAGGTGTTTCTGCACCTTTCTTACGGTGAACATCTGGTCAACACAACCGCGTTCTGGTTTGAATCCAGTTTGCTTAGGGCATATCTTGCTGTCTCGTATTGCCATAAGTCTATTCAGCAGGAAGCAAAAATTTTCCTGGAAATGTCTAATAGGCTGATTCTTCGATAATTGTAGCATTTGTCGCAATTGTCGTATGTCCTATTACCTCCCTTGAGAGCGAACTGCTTTGCTCTAATCATCTGGTAATATTTCTTTGTTCCATACCAGAAAATACATTTGTTGAACGTGCGTTATAAAGGACAACCTTTGAAGAGTTTAGCCCAGAAAATATCTTCCGAGTCTTATTGGCTTTAAGTTTATTGATAACGGGGATTATTTCCTTTTCTGCTGGTGATTAGCAATTGCAAACATATGGATCGATGTGCAGATTAGCTATTTCTGGGATGACAGATGGCGTATCGTGGTTAAGTTTGGCCTCAAAGAATTTTTTCCACCTTATGGGGCGATCCTTAATATTCTTAACAGGCACACCACTGCTATTCCGTACCATTTCAGTAATAATTCCTCGAATTACAGTACTTTATGAAGAAGACGGAATAATTTCCTATTATCACCTAGCCATCGTCTCTATTCTCATGACCATCTCCCTGCAATAGCGATTTCTGTCCTGATGTACCAAATTTGTTGCAATTCTTCGTGCCCGATAGTTAAGATCTCCTGACATTACTTTAGCAGATTTTTCTGCTTGCCAGTTGCTTCCGATCCCCAACTAGCTCATTTCCTACTAGCATATCGTAGTAAAATTAAATAATAACCAATAAGCAAAAATATAATTTCATTAAATAATTTATATGATCGTATAATATACATCGTATCATAAATAATTTTGATCCATCGTAAATAATTTTTGACACAATATTTTCCCATATTTTTCACATCAATTAAATCTGCAGGTTAAATAAAAGGAAATATAGCTTCTAATGAATCTTGCTGGAGACATGCTTTCGTCGGTGGCTTAGTGGAAAAGAAATTAACAGATTCACAAGATAATAAGTCGCTAATACCGTAAAAAAATAGAGAAGCGATGACTGAACTCTTCTAAGCCAATAAAAGAGGAAGAGATTTCGTCGTTGTTGAATGACTCAATGAATGAATGGACAAAAAATCAGGGTAGAGACAAAATGGAAAATGGGTCGATCCTAGAAGTCTCCTTCTGCTTATGCTGTTTCGTGCAAAAGATTTAAGCGATTATAATACCCTCATAATCATTAGAAATAGTTAGTCAGCATTTAATAAAATATATAATTCGAATTAGGCCTGGTACCTCCCAAGAATCGCCATGGTCACCAGAGGATCATAAGTTACCACTGCGAGTCTAAGCCAATATTTTATTTAAATCATCTTGTAACGGAAATAAATTGCCCTATCTGCCAAATGAATGGCAAATTTTACATTACAGTGATAAATACAAGAATTTTATTTAATGTTATTTTGCCAATATTAAGAAGAACAAGTTAACCTTGAAGCACAATAATTAAAGTGCTACTATATCTGCCATAATTGCCATTTTCCCCATGCAATGAAGCTAAATTCAGGTTACAACAGCGAAAAGTGATCGAGATAATAATATATACTTATGATATATATCAGCTCATAATAAGCCGGCATCGAATTCTTCAAATTTAAATTGTTCATTTATAATTGTTCGATTTTTTTCGTCAATTTCGCGTCTCCATCTTGAATTTCTGATAAAGTACTTAAAGTTTTATTTATAGTCCATGGAGCTGGATCAGCGGAACAAAATACACCTGAATAATTAGAATTGAAAAAACATCTAGAAACATCGTTGAAATCCCTTGATTTTCAATTAGGCTATCCAGAAAAAAAGCATCAGCCAAATGAAAGATTAAAGAGGAAAGCATTTTCACATTTCAAAGACTTACAGAAGAAAATATTAGTGACCACAAGCACCACAGCAGTTGCTATGAATATCTGACGCCATTCAGAAACAGTATTGTTCGGCGCTAATCCAGAGACAACTGAAGGCACTATCAGCATTGTTATTGTCAAACCTGGATTAGACTAAATTGAAGAGCTCCCCATAAAAAATTCATTGAAAAAATTACAAAACTATATTTTTCAATATCGGAATAATAACTTTGACAAAGAAACTATATAAATAAACATACACTCAATATATCTTTAATAACCATTTAACAATTTAATAATTTTTTTCAATCTTTAATAATTTTTATCATATTTTATTGCATATAAATCGGTAAAAAAACAGACCTAAAGATATATTGCCAGTCACAAAATGGCTATAATGCTTTGAAATTAGTGGTGCAGCCTTGAAGAAACCGCCTGTTGTAAGACCTAAACATGTGGCAGCAGCACCCAAGCAAAATACGGCTATGTTTTTGCCAGAAGCATTTATGAACGAAAGAACGAGAAGGAAAAAAGCACAGCCGAAAAATGCGATAGAATTGAACAACCATAATTTACTTCTTTCATTCAGAAATTTTATCTACAATAAAATATATGGCTCTTAACCAGTCAAGAAATGTTGAAGACCAATATATATATATATATGTATATCTTCGAGTGACTCGTTGGCAAAATGATTTCATTTTATAAAGTTTTAACTAAGAAATGTTGCACTTGTCCGAAGAAGATCTAAAATAGAAATAGTATGGAAATTTAGAAATGGCGCTTTGAGGTAGAAGCGTCTTTTTTTAAAGTGTTTTCTGTGTTTACTCAATAAATGGAGTATGGGATAGAAAATTATCATTTTAATTCCAAAATTTCTATACTTGATCGATTAAATGAATATAAACTATTAATACAGTACAAGTAAATCTCTTTCTATAGGCGACCACTATTTGTTGGCTTGTCGAGCAAGAGCAAATTTTGCCGAATAACAGAATTGGCGATGGAATCACCACAACTGATTCGCCAGTACCAATTGGATCTTTGAAACAAATTCGGTAAAAGCACAGCATCATTGCTTCATTCCGAAATGTAAAAACTTATTGAATTCAGCCACTTCTTCTTCTCTACCTCATTTCGCTCGTGATAACCACACTTGAAAAAGGAAGCCTTTCAGTAATACTTGTTATCATACCTTATCAGAAGTGATTCCAGCGAATAATTTGAGCAAAAATTGCATAAGCGGTGGCAATGCAGCAGCAAATCCTGTTTTAGTAACTTCCATATTCAAAGCTCTATATAAATAGGTTGGTGAATATAAAAACAACATATTGACGCATGTGAAATTACCAATAGCTGCAATCCAGACAGCCCATACAGACCACGTACGAAAAATTGCTTTATACGGAATCCTCTTGATCTCAGCTTTTGAAGCCTCCGTTTTTCCGACTGCAATCTTTTTTCTTTCATGTTCGCTTACAAACGGATGTTTCGATGGACTGAAATCATTTTGTGGACTGCAAATGGAATTATAATAAGCAAAATACTAATGCGCCATTTCTGGATGAGTTAGCTACGATTACTATTATTGCGGCTAAAAATTTTTATCAAGAAACCACAGAAATTTTCGGCAATAGAAGTACTGATAAATTATCAGTGCCACCTGGGTTTTTAATGACCGGTTTATGTCCATCGAGAAAAAGGTTCGAGTCTTTGCTTCTCAATTTCAAATTTCAAACCTAAATATCATTACCCACCTAGCCTATTCTGTTTCTTGGACTTATTGTAAATTATGAGGAATTTTTGCTTTTATTTGCTTTTTATTTTATTATTTAAGCTTTCTTTGATTTTTGCTAAAAAGTTTTAACCTGTTGCGGTAAAAAAATCCAAATATAATGAATAAAATAATGCATAATATTCCATGCATGTAATGAACAGTTGGCCAATCAAGTGATGTCGAGCAAAGAGCGCCACTTACTGGCATAGTTAAAGCTGGAGATAGTTGAACGTATGCTACGAGTACACTTACAAATAAACCATTCTGCTTATAATAAGTCCAACTTGACGTGAATGCTCCTATGACAATGAAATTTGCTGCGAATGCCACACCTGATACCATAGAATTCGAAAAAATTTAATGCATTGATATGTCGCTAAATAAAATTTTAGAAAATTTACAAGGAATTTCTCAAAAAAAAGAAAAAAATACAGGAAATTTCATTACTTAAAAAAAGGACCTTGGAATAAACGTGTAGCAAGTAGAAAATACAAATTTTGACAAGCAGCGACAGGAAGCAGGCAGGTCGATATGGCTGAGATAAATCCAAGTATGGTAAAAATAACGCGAACACCGAATTTATTTACTAGATACAAGAGAGGAAAATTCGCGATTAACGCAGCAGCTGCAACAATTGAAGTAAGATAAGTTCGTTCAGTTGGCGTAAAATATGCACTATGGCTGGCATTTTTAATGGAACTATAATTTTCCAGTGCATTAACACTTTCATCTTTTAAATTTCGATTCGGTTCGGAATTTTTATGGCGCATACAAATTACTGTGAAATTGAAAGCAATTATATTTGACCATATCGATGTCAAGCAAAGCAATAAGAGCAATACCATTATAAATCTGCAAAGTTTTCCTGTATTTATTTATTCTTATTTATTAATATTAATGCTTATGTTTTAAATAGTAGAAAAATAACGATAACAGTAATATTACACTGTCGTATCGAGCAACATGGTTCAGCCTATCCACCCAGTAGAAGTAAACATATCATTAAACGAAGAATGAATTTTTATTTCTAGTTGATTATCTTCTATTTCTCTGGAAAATCGCCCCATTCCACTAATAGGGAGAACGAGGCCAATAAGAAATAATATTCCTCAACGCTTATTTACCGTAAAGCAGATCGTAAACTGATGAATAAAAATTCCAGTTTATCGTGTCAAATTTTTCGTTAAATCAAAATTTTCGCATTAAACGAAAAATTCGATTTCGACTATTGCTTTATGTTAAATTATCTGTAATTCTTAAAATTGTAAACTTATAGGTGACAACGATAAATGTGATCAGAAAAACGCCTTATGGCTGTTTCTCGTTTAGTTGGCTTTGCTGGTGATTAGGATTGCAACTCCTTGCAAAAAGCAATAGATGTCCAGTAATATCCGATTTTTTAATAGATAAATTTTAATAATATATTCAGTCATGGCAAGAAAAAAGCATCATGAGTTCTTATTTTCAATGAGAAGAATAAAATTTATATTGCTTGAGATTGAGAGAAATGATAAAGAATTCTAAGCCTTTTAAAAATTTATTCATAAACATTTATTGCCTTGTTCTCGTTCTGAAAAGTTTCAAACATCCCAAAGTGAAATCGCCTTCTTCTCTAGTCGCTCGAATAACTTCATTCTGTATATAAGTTTGGTCGTTTATATTGTCACCAAATCGAACATCTTTAATTATAGTTGGAATAAAATCGTGTCGAGGATGAACAACCGATGTCATTTCAAAAAATTTGGTAATTAAAATTCCATTGACGAATACAGATTCTGAAAGAAAGAACAAATATAAATGCTGAAAATAATTAACTTTAAACAATCTAAAGAATTTTTCAAGTATGCAGACGCTCACCAATAATTCAACGAAACTTAGAAGAGGTTTTCTGTATTAAATGGATGATTTAGATGGTTTATTTATATTTTTAAATCTTTTAATTAACTTTTAAACGTTTAAATTTTTCTAATTTTTCTACAGTGGTGTGTCGACTTTAATAAATTATGGCAGATAATTATTTTTATTATTCTAAAAAACTATTTTTTCAGCAAAATTATTTGATGGAAATCCATAGATTTAGTAAAAATTTCCTTTTAATAGTATTTACCATTTCAAACTGCAAGTACTTGCTATTACGAGTGAAACTCCTTTCAGGAGAACCGAGTACAAATGAGTTCTCAACACCATACGATTAACACACAAGCCTAATTGCATCATTTTCAATTAAAGATTAGTCACAAGATTAAAGAGGTTTCTAAACCTAGAAATTACTATTCAAGTAAGTAAATAATAAGCAGTAATAGTTCGCCTCATCTATCCATCCATCTATTAATACAAACACAGCTAAAAATTGTTTTTATGAATGAATTAATTGTATTTGTGATGAATGTATTTTAGTTAAAATAATCCATGCAAACCGGATTTTTGTTTTCCATTTTCCTCATTCATTGCAGAATATTTTAAAATTTTACAACAAATCTCTTTCGCTACTATTATTAAATAACAGAATATTAATTTTTGATTGATGAAAGTTTGTTGAACGACTTTTCACCAAAAATCAAATAAAATTTGATAAGAATTTTAATTCATTCTTATCGAAATTAATCGTAATAAATTCAAAATAAATAATTAATTAATAAAAATTTTGGAAATGGCAAATTTCATTCATTGAAGACAGGATAACCGAACGGTTAGTGGCACGTGTTATCGCGCTATAAGGCAATGGTTCGGCTCTTACTCTTAAGGGATCTGCTCTGTTCTGGCAAAAAATTTAGATTACCAGTAGAGCTAGCACACAGACATTTCTGTAAACTGAGCACCAACCATTTTTTTCATTTTTTTTTGTAAATGGAAAATGATTTAAGAAAAGCAGTTGAGGAATCCTTTGGATACGAATAAATATCATAATAATTTTATTGATAAAAGAACTAAAATTATTCTTATCTTCGATCAAAAATTTTATATTAATGACGACATGAAATGACGAAATCAATAGGCGACAATATTAATATTAAAGAAAAAAATTCTACAGGCTCTCCTTATCGTTTCACAATTTCTTGTTATGATAGCATCAAAATATTCACATGACTTTGAATTTTTCATTCTATAATTTATGAACTTTGATGAAAAAGATAAAAAGATTAAAATAATATTGAAAAAATACATATTCTGATTACTTATCCATTTTTATTTGTATCATTTTGCTTAAAATAGACTATTCAGAATATCGAATAACTTTATGTTGAAAGGCCCATTATAATAAAACATTTTTTATTTACAGAATTAGGATAAATAAATATTTCTATTTCTTAATTATAAATTATTAATTTCTCATAATGAACGCAAAAATTTATTTTTTTTCGAAATACATGATGATTGTCGAAACAATCCACAGCCATATTATAGATACTCCATACAAATAACCAAATGCTTCGATGAAATATTTAACGAGGATTTGCTAAAAGATGGGTCAGCCATCATTCCCTCATATTTCGAGAATTCAGATTCAGATTTACGAGTGCTTAATTTTGATCGAATAAAATCGAGTTGATTATATATCAATAAGGAGGCCATCAAAAGAAGATAAAATGTTTTAATCACCACTGAACAAATAATATAAGTAAGTAAGTAAACATAAATCTTTCAAAATCCAGTTAAAACATTACTAAAACTAAAAAATTAAAAATTACTAAAAATTTAGAAAAAATAGAAACATAAATATTGGCTTAACAAAATAACAAAAAACCAATAAATCCAATAAATCTTCTTCTTCTAATAGCTCTCATCATTACTGTTTACGCTGGTTCTACTGGCTACAAGAGTAAAACTTGATGCCATCATGGACCGTAATTGAAGCCACTCTTTACTCCATCGTTTAAGTTCATATATTGCTGGTCCACCTATACGTTCAAATAGTATATATGTTCAAATAGTAGCTTCTTAATATTTTCCACACTCTTTGGTCATCTTTCAGCTGCAAAATCGATAAAGTAGATAGGTTGCTGCTATTTGAAACGGTGTTCCAGCACTCCTCTTAGCGTAAATATCTGGTCACCACAACCGCTTCCAAGTGTGAATCTTTGGTAAGGATGCATTCTGCTATCTTGCCTTGCCATGTCTATTTATTTATTTATTGAAAACCAGCCAAGCAGGGCGCAAACGCCATGTGCTTGTATTAATGACAACAGTTACAAATAATAAGAATAAATGACAAAAAAAAAATGATAAAATATAATAGATAAAAAATAAACAATTAAAAAAATTTATGAAATAAAGAGGAAATTGCAAAATAATATAATATATAAAATTCGAAATAATTATAATCGGATGGAGATTAACTTCCTGCATGCATGATGTGAACTTTTTAAATAATATCATAAATTATTATCTAATCTTTATTAAATTTTAATTTTATCCCAAAATTATAATTTTTGAACAATCTAACATAACCATACAGAATGTTATATGTATAAATTAAATCTTGTTTAATACGACGAACCGACAGAGAATCCAGGTTATGTTGTAGAAATTTCCTTTCATAATTGCAATTAAGAGGGAGGGAGGCGCTGAAATATTTTAAAATATTGAAATATTTTTGTAGTCATTCAATTATTTCACTTGATTTACGATATCTCGGGGAATAACATGTAGTACTGTAATCAATAAGTGGCTGAACGAGCGCTTTGTACATTTTGATAAGAAAATCTTCAGTTTTGCTCTTAAACGAATGGAAAATAAAATTTACTGTCTTTGAGGATTTCTTTACCACGCTTCTGTAGTGGTGGTCGAAATCGACATTTTTATCCATGATTATTCCAAAATCGGAAATGTGAGTCTCTTCTGATTATATTACCATTAATAAAAAAATTAGGAAGATCGAATCCTTTAGAATTGATATGAAGAACGCTATACTTTTGAAAAGAAAGGGTAATTTGTCATATAGCCAGTTGTTAAGATCCTCCTGCAGTGGAGATAGACTATTTATTCTATCATGGGCGTAATAAATTTTACAATCATCAGCATAAAGATAAATGGTAAAACTTAGCAAACTTTGGTGATATTATTTATATATAATTTAATTTATAGAAAAAGCAATGGCACAATATAATCTTGGAGAACGCTAGATTTAAGAGGTGTCAGAAAGAATGTTGTTGACATTCTTCCCTACAGCCTGGTGACGATCTCTTATGTAATCCGAAACACGGTTATACAGGTTCCTTGTAATGCGATAACAATTAAGAGTGATCAGTAGTTTGCTATGGGAAAAGTATCAAAAGCTTTAGCCAAATCTAGGTACACAACTGATGCTGTTTTTCCATTGTCAATTGGTGTAGACCAATCGGAAAGATTTGCCCATATTTGTGAAATAAATTTGTACAAAAGCCATGCTGATAAGAGGGTATAAAATTATTGGCATCAAGATAAGTAACCAATTTGTTGCAAATCAACCTTTCGAGTACCTTGCTACCAACGCATGTTAGGCTAATAGGTCTATAATTAGATGAGTCATAGGTGCTTCCTTTTTTATGAATGGGAATTATATGAGACAACTTCCAAATTTTGGGATTAAGGCCAGATTTCATAATGTCCTTATAGATTAAAAATAGTGGAAGACTTAGTGAAACTGCACATTTTTTATAAATTATTTGCGGAATATTAGCGAGACCAGCTGAAATGGACAGCTTAAGTCTATTTAAGGCAGCATAATCATCCAGTAGTGTTATTTCAAGTTCACCGAGAGAAGTGCAAAAAATTAGATTTACGTTAAAATAAGAAGTATGAGTATTATCCTCATCAACAAATACACTGGAAAAATATTGATTAAATATGCTTGCAATATCAATATCAGAGGTGATTACATTACCAATATGTTGCAGAATTAATTGTTTACAGGAGTTGACGCATATTTCGTTATTAGCTAAACCGTGTGACGGTTGGCGTCAAAAGCGACGTGGGCCAATCAAGACCTGGACTGATACGGTGAGAAAAGATTTTAAACGTATAGGTGGACCAGCAATATATGGACTTAGACGATGAAAAAAGGAATGGTTTCCATTACTGTCGACGATCAGACAACGCCGCTTGGAAGCGTCTTACCCTTGTAGCCGTTGGAGCCAGCCTAACCAGTAATGGTGAGAACTGTTAGAAGAAGAAGAAGTTGTCTATTGAAGATCGGATCGAAATCTCGTCAATGATCGACATCAACAACCAAGATCTGATATAACTCAAACGTGTTAATTTAATATTATTATCCTCTTTTACTGTTTTCTCCATGAATTTTATTATTCCAACCCTTGTTTCTAAGTCGTTAACCAAACACATATATACTCTGCTTATTTATTTATAAATAAAATATGTAAATAAAATATTCTCCATCCAATATGGAAAAATTGATCGGAAATGTACAATGAAAGCAGATCGCTTAAGTCAATTTTTTACAGAATTTACCTTATTTATTCGTGTTATCGTTCCATATAGCTATCTGAAAAAAAATTCCTTAATATCGACTATGAATGAAAAAGGTAAATCAGTGCGCCGCTGTAAATTCCATGAGTACAAAGAAATGCATTCATTATGCAAGGTCCTTATTGCGGGCAATTATTAAAATAATCGTCTTAGTGGGTCACTTGGTCAATCGTTATCTATTCACTCATCGGTTTTATCTAATTACTATGTCAGTAGTAACCCTTATTTATTTATTCTATCACTATTTTTATTCGAATTTACTCGATTTATTCTCAAATTATTGGAAAAAAACCAGCGTAGATTGTCAAAAATTGCAAAAGTTGAGTGAAGGACTTTATGCAGTCAAAGGCATATTTTATATTATAATAATTCGTTTATTATTTTATATCTTTATTCCGATCTCTTTGCTGATTTCATTTGCTTCTTTTGCTGAATTCAAAATGGTAATGTAAGTATAGAAATGCATGCTTGGTGGGGTTGATGAGTATTCGTTTCGCCAGCTTGTTGCTTGATGGCTATTATATTTTTTTTTTAGTAGATCTATGATGAACTGTTTATAAATGATGACAGCCAGCATTTTTATTGTTTCTGCAGTTATTTTCCGAGGTTATTGCATTATTTATACAACCAAAAACAAAGAAATTCTTTTTTCTAATTTGATTTTCTCTAATATTTTTGCAAAAAATATTTAAATTTATAAAATTTTAAATTAAAAACCACACGATATTGATTTTCTTTCTGATGGAAACGTTCAGTGAGCTGCGACGTAAAGTTTTCATCAGACTTGAATTGCGACTTCAGTGAACCATGTCTTTGGCGAAACGCAAAAAGTATCGATAACTCTGGATATTTTTTGCTAAGTAATAATCTGCAAATCAGCCAAAACTTATCTATTTTGCCAAAAAATCGAGGATCTCGTTCGTTTTTTTTATTATGTGATATATAATATTTGAATGGTATGTCTGTGGTTATATATAAAACAATTATAAATATAAATAAAGATAGTTTCTTTTTTTAGCCAAAAATAGCCTCTGAAATTATAACTTGAAATTAAAACAGTTTAAGCGCTTAACGATGCTACTTTATAAGATTTCAGACTTCGGTAGAAATTAATTGAAAAGTTATAATATTTTGGTTGCTCACTTGAAATTTAGAAAAATCTGCAGCTCTGGTAGAATAACTTTTTAAAAATAACCAAAATAAAATGATGTTTCAGTCAAGCCATTCGCTTATACATATGGTGAATATGATGGACGACACCAATCAACATTAGTTAGTGATATGATCGGGTAGGAAAATATTAAAATACTGCGAAATATTTCCAAAAAAACCAAAATATAAGATAGATTACTGGTTCAAAAGTTTGTTTTCTGCTTCGGTTAAGTGGACAATTTCTTCCGATTTTTTCAAAATCGCCTTTTGTTTATAATTTAATCATTCGATATATTAACCAAAAGTACATTTCGCTAATCTTAATATTTTTATAGCTGTCAATTAGGACGTGCACGCTTAACTCTCTGGCACTATAGGACAGGCTATGCCTCATCAGTTGATATTTGTTGGCGCCAACCTCCGGGTGATGCTCGACCTCAAGGCATAAAATGTTTTCCTATCGTCAGTGGCAATCATATTCGCCAGTGGCTTTTTAGTACCATTGAATTACCGCCAATTTCGACAATTTTCGAGGTATATTGTTTGAGAAAAAAATTGATTTGCTGTTAAATCAACTATGTTTAGTAATTATTTTATTTTTAATTCATAATTTTAACGCTCAATCTGTTCAACAAGACGAGTTTGCTCACTTAATGGTGAAAGAACTGGTCAGCCTTGTCATATTTAGATCAGTTATTGATACCTGAAAATTTTTTTCAGCTACTTATAAGGATTACATTCATCCAACCGTTTGATATCGTTGCAATCGATGATATTGTTTTTAACTCTACGTTGTGTGGTATGTTTACATTTATGATTTCATTTCACCCATGAATTGTTGGGTCACTTTAACTAGCAAGTCAAAACTCTCATTAAACTGAAAGACTGAATTAGCAATTTTTTAATTTCCTCGTGCTTTTTGAAAACCTATCGGAATTTCTCCGTTAATCGCTTAGACAATTATAGTGCCGCTGAAGAGATTTTCTGAAAGTGATGCAGTGATCGGTCACGACTGGAGAAAACATTGAAAGTCATGGATTATTATACTATACCATGCTCATAAATGAACTTACAGGAATGGATCCAAGTGAAAAAAATACCAAAAATCAAATGACTACTTTATGCAGGGATCCTAGGGAGAAAATATTTTATTCTATGTGTGACAGGAGCAATTTCTTCACCGATAGTAGAACAAAGCGGGATACAGTTGAACATAATCCACCGCCAATAATCGATTATGATGACTGGACAATATTAAGGATATCAAGTCCTAACTTAAATCGGCCAACAATGATCGTTGTAGCTGAGGCACCTGGTATTAAGAGCATTACAAACAATTCAAAAAATGATTCTGGCAAGAAAATATCTGAAATCTCAGATAACAAATATGTTTCAAGAAATGAATATTTGCCAACGGCTCAAAAATATTTACTAAATTCTACTGTAAATTCAATAACTATAAGCAATAACGCGGCCAGAATTGCTTCTTTACTTGGAGAAAATGATGATCTAGAACTGACTGAAAAAAAATCTCTGATATTGAGCAACTCACCAATAATGCCTGTAATTTCAAAACCTATCCGCGATTACCGCCAGTTGTCGACTGATGCAAATGTGGATGGAGCTGTATCAGCATTCAGTCCTTCTAAGCTTCAGCAAAACACTTTTCCCCATCCCACAGATCTTGTGACTAATATCGTTAATATCATTAATCGAATAGCACCAGTACTACCTGCCTTTGTACATGTTCTACGCTCAACGAAGCTCTCTAGTGAAGCTTCAACTATGAAATCATTTGAAAATCCTTTGCGAAATCTGCTTCTTAGTTCAAATAGAAAATTTCATCCAGTAGCACATCATTTAAATATTCCTTCATATTCTTCACGCGATTCAATTTTAAGCAATGCCTTTAATTTCGAAAATAATACTGATACTGCAGTAACAGCTTCAAAATCTAATAAAAGTGGAGAATATCCGTTAATAAAAAGCTTGAAGCTTCGGAAATTGCAAACCAATAGTTTTGGTATCGAGAGAACTATAAAGCTGCACCAGATAACTAGAACCAACCACTTTTCTCATCTTAGTAATAAAGATATTAAAATGCGATATGAAAATAAAAAAGCAGTATCTGAACAGCAGCAGCAAAGTGCGGCAGTAAGTAGCGAAGCTATAACTCATATTCAACACTCCAAGGATCCTGGTCCAAAATTACAAGAACTATTTGCAAATAAAATCTATCCTATTTCTGAAAAATATACGAATATAAAAACCTTCAACAAACCAATTTTGCACACGATTAATTCTCAAGCAATTAATGTTCTTAGTTCTGGAGAAATACGTAAAATCAAAGAAATTCATAAAAAATTATTCAATATTCAAAATGAAAGAAAAAAACTTCATGAAAACCATACTTCCCGTGTGAAAGAAGTATTATTAGCAAATCAACCAAAATTTATAATTGAAAAACGTGATATTGATGCATTTTTGAATTCCGAGGATTCTGAAAGAATTCAGAATGTTTTAAATCAATTGCCCAAAGATGTTGTTGAAGATCTGCAAATGCTTAAAACAATTCCAAATCCAAAAGAACTACTTGATGGATTAGATTTGAACCTTATGAATGAAAATAATGGATTTGACCAGCTTAAAAAACAAATAATCGATCGATTCCTTCGACGAAAAATAGGGCTCTATCCTTGAAATTTCTTTGAAACTTCGAATTCCAGAAATTTGTAGGAAATTTGCACAATTAACGATTATTTTTATTAGTAGCTAAAAATCTCACCGAATTTGAAGATCACAATGACTTTTATCAATATTTTAAATATTCTAAAGCCAATGCAAATTTTTGGAATATGCTCACTTAACACATAGAAAGTTTTTTCGCTTTTTCTCATTTTCTTACATTTACTCATATGTTCACTTATTCAAATCCACAGGGTAAAGCTAAAGCGTAAAGAAAAATATAAAAATACTAATAAAACTAATTAGATAGCAATTGGATACCAATTATAGGTTTACTCATTTCGAGAACATTCAAATTTCAACACTTATTTCTCTTGGAGCAGGTCTCTTGAATTCATCAAAATTTTTAGCAAATATTAACAAAATTTGCAATTTGTATAAAATAAAAGAATCGAAGAATTTTTGTTTTATCCTTTAGCTTTCATTTATGGTGTCAAAGCGCTTTACACATGTCACTATACATGATAAACATGTATGATTTTCTAAATGAACAGTTAATTATGTTGTTATTGTAAATATCGCTTAAACCATCAATTTTTTCGCAATAACAAGAAAATAAAATATTACGGATAACATTGTTGTATTCAGATTAAAAAAATGAAGATCACCTTATTTGAAGTGGAGTGTAATGGCTTTTGTTTTTGTGAAAATTATTGCTTTTCCATTATTGTTCATTCTGGAATTCAAGGAGTTCTTGCTAAACTATTGTTCTATTGAAACTATTGAGATAAATGTAATTTTTCTACCCTCTTTTGCCTATAAGGTCGCAAGGTGCATCATTTGATTATTTTAGTTGTTGCGCTGATTGAAAAAATTCACAAAAACGAGAAATCTAAAGATAAACTTTAACTTTACTTTACTTTCCTTTCACTTTGAAAATTCACCTTGGATAAAATTACTAGCTGCCAGTTAAAAACAGCAAAGCTGAGGAGCCTGAGGAAATACCAAGGAAAACAGTAGTATGATCAATCATAAATATTAACAAAATTTCCTCATGAAAATCATTCTTGTGCACTACGAAATGCATAATTCCAAAAATCAGCAAAATTTCTAGAACTGAGCAAAAAATGTTTCATTTTAATTTTGATCATTAATTTTTTATTCTGTCATCCACAAACTTGATGGAATATTGTAAAATCATAAATAATTTTCAGAAAGCATCAATATTAGATCAACAGAAGGCGGAGGAGGTGTATTTGCAGTTGACGCACCTTCAGGTAATTTTCTTTTTTAAGGGTCCTATTACTGGTTAAACTGGCTCCCCTGGCTTATCGCATTGGGCAATATGCCAGGGAGTCTTTTAGTGATAGAAATAAATGTAAGTCGCTAGCATAATCCGGATTTTTGGTCAGGTTTATTCTTGTGGGGAATAGAACTTCAGTATCGGCACTCCAAACTGAGCAACAACCCACTGAGCCATCCTATCTGCAGGTAATAAGAATATAGATATATAAATTTGATAAATTTTAATAAATTCTGTCATAATCAATTAATCGTTTGAAAAATTCTTCAAATATTTCCTGATGTTATTTTCATCGAATTTGATCACTACTTACTGTTCATTAATCGCTATTTGTTATCCAATGAGAAGCTAATTCAAGAACCATTTTCTTTTTTTTTATAGATCATTTTAATAGGACAATTAATTTAATTTTAGGTCGAACAATTGGTCAACACTTTAACCTAATTCCAGCAATTAACCCATTAAATTCAAGGTTTGCTTTTATAAATATGAAAATCAACGAAGAAATTGAAAATTAAAAACCAACTTACTTTACAAACAATTTAGAGATCTTATGGATTTCACATTTTAAGCCCTATATTTTTAAATTTTCACAAAAATACTAAACGAAATCCTTAGAAACGGCTATTTCAGATTCATTATTTCTAATAATGATTGCTCTTTCAATATTTTAAATTAAGGCACTTCGCTTTTTTCCATGTACTCGGAGAATTTTCAAAATAACTCGAATTTTGGGAAATTTCACTGGTTTTTAGGATCTTTTTCGACAATGAAACGCACATAGCGAATAGCGAATTTTCAACAATAATATTATCAGAAGAGAAATTTTTAAAGAAATTTAAAACAAGTTGCACATTACTTGATTGCAATTTTGATGATGGGAACGTTTGCGAATATTTACTTTATGAGCCGAATAATGATAAGGATCTGTTAATCGGTTTTCCCTTCTCCAGTTTTTTTCTTTTTTTCAGTATAAAAAGCATAATCGGTTTTCTTTTCTGAGTAATTTTTCTTTAATTTTTCAGTGTAAAGATTTTTAAAGATATTAACCATTTATTGATTTCAGATTTCCCAATTAAGACAAAAATTTTAAATTGGACAATATCGAATGGCGTGGTTGGAAACTCATTAACTGGCATTTCAAAGGATTATAGTGGAGGTTTTTTTTGTGCCAAAGACTTTTAATTCAAAACCTGTCATGGTAGGTCAAGCTTATCAAGGTGCTGAAATTTAAAATTTAAAATCTATGAAAATCCATTTTCTTAAAAGTGGTCTCGAAAAACGTAAATTTTTCAACATAGTTTCTAATTTCTAATGATAAAGCAAAATTTCGTGAGGATAAATTCCAATTCTATTTTTAACATTTGTGCACCCTATTGGCTAGCAATTACTCAACCTTTTTGTTGCTGCAAAAGATGCTCTAAAGTTCAAACAAGAAGATTCATATTTAATTTTTCTCCTTTTTGCAGATGGATCATTTATATATGCAGGTGGAACAAATAATGAAAATACTATTTTTATGCTTTCATCACAACCTGTCAATCTAAGAAATGACTCCGTACTTTTTTTTTCGCTATATTTAGCTGGGAAACATGGCCGTTTAAAAATTTGTATCAATTCGTTAAATTATTGCCCATACGAAGAATCCAGTGAACATTTAAATAAATTTTCGAGGCGATGGATAGATGCTTTCATTAATGTACCCAAGGGACCACAAGTAGTGCGTTTATTTTCTTTAAATTCTATATAGGGAAATTCTATATAAGGTCCAACCTTTTGATCTCTCTGAACCATATTGTATGAAGAGGAATGTTCTCTTGGCGGGTGCACAATTAAATATATAAAAAAAAAAAAATAAGTGAAAACCTCCATTTATCTTTTTACAATTTTTATTGTAAAATTGAAAGAGGACATAAAATTAATAGGAACTCATTTGATTTGACCTTGTTTTGTGAAACTGTGAAACTAATGCATCAATGCCTGGTTCAATAGAAACATCTGCAATTCTCAGTGAATTATTAAGTTCCACAGGTTGAATGCCCATGCTTTACACGAATCAGAAAAAATGTTGCACGAAAAATTTGATCGAATTCCAGGTATATTTTATTGCTGACAAACTGAAAAAAAATTACGTGATCGGTTTGGATACGATTCAGCTTTTGGACAAATATGGTAATTCACCTGAAAAATGCTGAAATTATTAGGAGATCCGTTTGCCTTCGATTTATTATCAAATGCAATAAATTTGCAACAAATCATTTAATTGTTTAACGAATATTTCAGTTACTATTTGTGATATATAATTGAGAGAAAAAACAACTTTCCGCAAAAACGGTGGCTTTTTTTCAAATACCTGGATCTTAATTGTTTACTATCTTTTCGCTATATAAAGCAAGGCGAATTCGGCAACATTGAAAATTTATCAAAATTGAAAAAGTTTTAAAATATAATTTACAAGATATAAAAAAATAAAATATAATATAAAAAGCCAAATAGAAAAATAAAAAATTATTAAAAGTGTTTATCCTATAAATTTGTTATTATTGATTTCAAATATGACGATCTAACTTTAATATTCACATAGCTGTTGGCACGAGCATCAAACAGCGAAGCCAACACGATGCTCAAGTACAATAACTGACAAAATACTCACCTGTACACTAAAGATTATTAACGATTAGAAGGTCGAAGCACTATAGTTGTATCAATGATTTTAACAACATTGTTTCTAAGTTTATTTCAAATTTGCAATAAATCGACAAAAAGTATTGCCGAAAGTTTAGAACCACAAACATCATAAATAATCTAGTCCTTTTTCGTTTTTTCCAAGAGTTTATAGTCATTATTACTGTTATTAAAAGATTCGATTACAATATAAAACAAAATTTGCTATTTTATGGTTATACCAGAAATATGACAGAAGACTTTATTATTTGTCAAAAGGATTCATATATTCATATTGCAGTCTTGTAATAAAAATTAGAATTTCTAATATTTCAAAATTAATTTTTCCTTTCAGATCGAATATTATTTATTATTTAAAGGTTTGTAAGGTTTTTTTCCTTCATAAATTTTGAGAAATTATAGCTTTTTCACGTCGGTGGGTGGGTGAGCAAAGTTCTGAGTGCAAAACACTTTTTTTCACCAATCTCTTTATAGTAATAACAATAATAACAATAATTAATAATAATAATAATAATAATAATAATAATAATAATAATAATAATAATAATAATAATAAATGGTAATAAAACGATATTTATCTTTATTATATCTTTAATATATTTATCTTGATAATAATGATGATAATAATAAAGATAAAGATAATGATGATAATAATAATAATGAAATAATGATAATAATAATAACAATAATATTATTTAATCAAAATATTTTTAGTTGCTCTTTTTTCAAGTTTTTTCATAAATTTATTTTTTGCCCAAAAAATTACCTTTTATGCATTTTTATGATTGAATATTATTGAGCATCGAGCAATAAATGTCATTTAGTTTATTTGGCCTTTTTCTAAACTAATATTTTTTTAATATTTGCAATATAAATATTTGCTATTCATTAGAAATTTTCATTGATATCAGCCATTAAATGTCATTTTCAAATAGATCCGATATCAAACTTTTTTTATTTTCATCAAAACTTTCATTAATCCATGGATATTACTTATTGATTATTGAACTGATAAAAACTTTTGATT